GGGGATACTGTGGCGTTGCCAGCAGTGCCCAGTTGCCCCGCAGCGCCGTTGCCAGAACAGAAGGGTCGTCGTCGTCGGAGAGAGGGAGATGATGGAGCGGGCGCTTCCAGGGGGGGCGCTGAAATGGAGAACGACCCGACCACTGAGTCGGGCGGGGGGCAGTTCGACCCAGCAACTTGGCAACGGCAGATGTTCAAAATGAACAAAGCGATCGGAAATAATACGAGAACAACGGAGCGGAAGGTTAAATGTCTTCAAAATGATGTTGAGACTATTCAGAGGCGGCAGGATGAGGCAGAGGTGAAGATGTCAGAGTTGCAAAAACAGTTTACGGAGTTTAAACAGGGAGGAAGTTCGAGTACCGCATAAGACAGTGAAAGGGGGGAGTTTTGTCATTTTTTTCACTGGTGTTGCCGTTATAAGCTTGCATTTACCACATGCTGACTCGTGCCTGGCAGACGATGAAGAGAACACTGGGTCAGGGGTCCCTGGCTCAAGACAGGAGTCTGTGGTTCCACATGCAGTGCACGGTGTTTCGTGTTGGGCACGCTGATATCGTATTTCTTTTGTCTGTGGAAGTCGTAGACACTGGGAGGGTGCTGACCATTGAGAAGTTATTGGCCACCACGTGGAGAGGTTATTTATCATTGAAGGGTTATTGTTCACCTTGTGAAGCGGAAGACATGAAGAGGTTATTGATCATCACGGCGTGTTGGATCGGTACTTCTTTGCACACTGTGATTTTGCAGGTTGTACACGCTGGTGTTGTGGGCCCCCGTTGGTTTCGATGGTGTGGCCTCATGATGTTGTACTCTGCCCAGTTTTGTACGTGTGTATAGTGTATTCGGTTGTATTTGCCACGTGGTACCGGTTTTAACCTTCGACTCAAAGTAGGTCTTGACTCGTGAATTGTTGATTACATGCATGTTGTGATTGGTTGTTGGTCTGTGATGTTCTCTATCTCTCTCTCTCTCTCTCGTTGCTCTTCGCTTCATTTGCAGCGGCGACGTGAGGTGTGTTTGGCGGCATGTTGTGAATCATTGTTAAATTCAGGCGCATTCCCTAGAAGACTCTCGGACTTGTTTGGAGTGCCATTCTTCTGTTTGGCTTGTTCCGTGGTGCCTCAAAGGAGGTCACTTGTAGCCCTGATCGACAGTGCAGTTGCCTCAAAGCAGGTCGCTTGTATGAGATCGTCGTTTTCTCTTCTTGGCTCATTGGAGCCTGCTCGCTGCTCCATGAGGGCCTGCATACATCGTGTGTCTGTACTCTGCTCAATTCATGCATGTGGTGATCGGTACTACTGCTCTCTTTTCGGCCTCGTTTGGATTGCTTGACGTTGCGTGACTGCGTGACGGGGCCCCTGTTAGTGGGGCCGCAGCTGTTCGATTTTGACACGCCTAAGCCACACTGGCTCGGCACGTGTCATTCTTGATGCCTCAAAGTAGGTCCTTGCCCGCGTCCTTGTTTTTGTATTCTTGTACGGCTCAACGAGTGTCGTAGTTTTTCTTGGCTTATGTGAGCCCGCTCGCTGCCCCATGAGGGCCTGATTAGCGAGACCGCAAACCGCAAAAAACCGGATTGACGGTTTACTGGTTTTCCCCCCCCTCTCTCCTGCTGCTCCTGCTCTTTCTTCTCTTCCTCCTCCTTCTCCTCATCATCATCGTCCCCCTTCCCCCCTTCCACCCTTCCCCCTTCTGCTCGTCATCCTCCTCTTCCTCCTCCCCCTGCTTCTCCTCCTGCTGTTTCTCTTCCTCTTTCTCTTCAGTTTCCTGCACCTCCTTCTCCCCGTCGCCTCTTCCACGTTCCTGCTAGAGCTCTTCGGCATCGAGGAATTCCGGCACGGGGTGGAGCTAGTTGGCGCACCCAGCCCGGGCGAACAATGTGTCAACCTGGGGTCGGTTTCTTGAAGATTCTGAGAGATTTGATTGTTCGTTCTGAGAACCGTCTGCCAGCCAAATTCTCAGGTCTGTAGGTGCAGTATAATTATCGAAACACTTGGCGGAAGCGACGTTGTATAAAACCCGAAAAATACACTGGCAACCGGCGGTAAACCGTCAACCAGTTTATCACCGGGACCCTCGTAGAGCTCTTAACACGCAAATCAGTGCTCATGTTACGAGGAGACTGCGTTTTTGAATGTCCGCTTGAAAATTCGCACAGAATGTACTTTTTGGGTTTTGTACGACGTCGTCGTCCAAATGCCGGTCCTCCACGTGGCCTCAATTGAAATGTCGAACGACACGCGAGCAACTAAAAGCGAACAGTCTCAAACTGACATTTGCAGTTGTTCATAATGGTTGTGGTGGTAACGCCGTCGATTTTGATGATAGTGATGACGGTGATGATGGCTCTCATGATGATGCCTCTTTTGTTGCTGATGACGATGACGATGACGATGGTGATGCTGGTTGTTGTCGTCTTTGTGGTGGCGATATGCCGATGATGACGACGACGATGACAAGGACGTCACTGTTGCCACTGTTCATGAAGACGACGATGA